TCACATCAATAATTTTTTTTTTAACAACATAATCTCCATCACATCAAACAAAAAATGCATTCTTGGACTCAAAATGTGCACTAAACAGAGACTTATTCAGTCTTTAAAATTGAGTCACGTATGACTTGAATTTCAATTTCACTATCATCGATTTATGAAAAATTATCATTAGTGCCTTCGAACAAGTTCGACGTAACATGTAAAAAGCACGTTTTAAATAATATTTAAATAAATGAACGTGTTGATACGCTAAACAAAATATATTATTATACATAAATAATAAATATAAATTTACTACACTTAACTTCATCGACCGTGATNTGTGTCCCATCCACTGACTACCTATTTGAATTAGGAAAAAAAAAAAAAAAATCAATGTATGTCCAAAACTATTGAACTTTTAGATGTGGGTGGCTGAAAGAAAGTGGAAGTAGTGGCTGAGATTCACAAGAAAAATCGGTTGTGAATTGTGAGTTGGTAGGTGAAATGAATTCAAAGTGAATGCTTCAAGGGTAGGTTTGTGAAAATGGTATAGGAAGGAATATGTACACAGTAAAATGTTCGAGAAGTATCATTGAAGGGACATGTAACAGGCTGATTTTTAATAAAATGGAATTGCGTAATGAGCAACAAACAGACCCTTAATGGATTGCTTTTTGATAACAATACAAGCCACTAGACAATTAAATCCAATGAAAGGTAGATACGAAAAAATCATTCAAAGGAATGATAGCATCTTCAGGAGATTCTATATTTTTAGGTAAGATATTCTACAAATTAGACAGTATTTATAAATTTAAAGAATAAAAGTCTTTTAAGTATTTCAACAAATTATTGATAGTTAAACACTTAATTTTATTACTCCAAAAAAATATTTATTATTTTTTCCTATCTTTTTTATTTTCATTAGCTTTTCTCTAAATTATTATACTATTTTCATTCATTGAAAATTGAGATACTTTGAATGCATTTAAATATAGATAACAAGTCAAACTCACTTTCTATATTAAAATATTAAATTAAAGAATATTTTGAAGTATAATTTTAAGGAAATATTTTAAATCAAAGAAATGCTTTGAGTTGCGTGTGAGGGTTGGGTTGGGCAAAGACTTATTTTAAATGAATTTTTATATAATATTAAAGAAATGTTAGTACGGATTTTTTAAAAATATTTTTTCTTCAAAAAAAATTTAAAGATAACGATAAATTATATTTAGCCCTGTTTGAGCCACATTATTTTTTTCATTCTTATTTTTCTACTGATTTTCAACCACACATTTTTCATTACATCAATAACTTTTTTTTAACCACATAATCTCCATCACATCAAATAAAAAATGCATTCTTGGACTCAAAATGTGCACCAAACAGAGACTTATTTCAATTTCACTATAATCGATTTATGAAAAATTATCATTAGTGCCTTCGAACAAGTTCGACTAACATGTAAAAAGCACGTTTTAAATAATATTTAAATAAATGAACGTGTTGATACGCTAAACAAAATATATTATTATATATAAATAATAAATATAAATTTATTACACTTAACTTCATCGACCGTGAT